GTGCGCTGTAAACAAGCCATTTGTTTGTTTGTCATGCGTTTGAAATTCGCGCTGCGAAAACGCATTCAACTCGTAAAACCGACATGTCTGCCTTTTTTTGCGCGCTTCACCCAGGAACTTATAAAAACGATATCCCCGTTGCTTTTAACCTTGAAAACAAAGTCCAGTTTGACCCCAGACCATCTGTGCCGATCCCTGGTTTCCACGTGTCATTTCCATGCTTCTGCTTGGAGGCTACTTTCAAGCACTAGTGACGATAGTCACTAGCGACTGATGCCTTTCGTTGGCTGAGGACAATTCTCGAAAATATTTTTTGACTCCAACTTTAATTGCAGCAGAGTTCAGAGATTCTCACCCTTACAGCTACGGAATGGATGTTCTCTCTACACCTTACAATTATCCTCTGAATTGTTATTACTTAGGAGTTGTTGTGAACACTACAGCGGCGTTGCACATTTTCAATTGCTTTGTGATGTTAGTCAGAAATTCTGGGTTTTTGAGAAAAACTCACTGAGGACGTTTGCTTTTTCTTCCACTCCTTTATATTTGCCTTCATCGTAAGTTCCATTGCTTCTGACATATCTAGGATAGAGCGATATATGGATCGATTATAATACTCTGCGGAAAGAAAAAAGAAAATTTAAAGGTTCGACCGAAAGTGACGATCCACTTGAACAAAGAATTAGCGTTATATCGGCAAGAAAGCCACTAACAACAACAATTTTCTCGATTGCTCAAACTTACGAAACTATACTCATTAGCGAGAAGCACTGACTAAGTGCTAAGCGACGCTGAAAACCGCAAGAGGGTATTTCGAGGTTTGCCATCAAAAAAGAATGTCTTTACGACCGAAATATTGGTTTTCCCCCATTTCGCATATTTTGGCAAAAGCGGCATCCTGCCGCGATTGGGAAGACAACATCCATTTGATGGCTGGATTTGTCTGTGTTAGTAGACTAATCATCAGTTATCCTTAAAAATCAGAAAAAAAGAAAAAGGACGTTGCTTGTGAACTTCACCTTAGCGGGCGACATAACGACTATGGTTGCACATATGAAGCGTCTAATTGTAAGTGCACAATTCCTGAATTCATTTTGAAAGTCTGCATCCAATGCTCTTACTAGTTTTAATATCCTTGGATTACAAACAGTGAAGAAAAAATCTTCTATCTCAAAAAATGAATCTTTTGCGGCTTCGGTAGTTAAGCGGGCATCAAGTGGCTAAAAACCCGTCGTCATTCGGCATTCTTTCTTGTTTAACCAAAAAATATTTATTGTTGCTTACTCTTTTTTTCCTTCGCTTTCTTCCAAATTCGCTTGTAAAAGTTCAACATCGCCTACATTGAGGCGCTTCATAGCTTCGGTAAAATCGAAACCCAAATTTCCATCCCGGAATACACACACTGCCATGTTCATATTGAAAGCGTCCCTTAATCTCACTATCAGAGTTATATATACTAAAAGATAAAACATACTGGATCGTGTCAAAGTAGTCGCTTATGTCAAGCAAAGCTTCTAGTGCGGTACCGTGTTGACACCAATTGGATTTGAAACCCAAAAGAATGACGTTTGGTTTCAAGTGACCAAGCCCGCATACCTCAAGAAAGCATGTAAAGAAAGTATTGTGATACTAGTCAGACACCTACTTGAAGCAACGATTGAGTACCCCCTCGGATGTTAGCATCAGCAACAGAAATGTAAAAGGCCCTAATGTGCCTCTTCCTTAACCATCTGCCGAACTGCTGATCTAGCTTGCGCATTACGGAATATACTCGCTCAGAAGGAT